ATGGTCAGCAAATAGAATACCTTGACAGATGTATTCGACTGGACTTAGAGCCCTTATGGTTAAGGAGAGTGAAGTGCAATTTATTTCTCTTATTCAAAGTTATAAGAAAGCACTGTAACAGTAACTCGTCCATAACCTGGGCTAATCCTAAATCGTATGGACTACGCAACCACAACTACCTTCTCAAGGTTAACACCCATAAACTCACCACTAGAGCTAACTTCTTCACCATTAAATATTGCAAACTTTGGAACCAACTACCCTCTGAGATAAGATCCTGTGAAAGGCCTGACAGTTTCAAAAGGAGCCTAGAAAAACATATAAACATGTCCACCCTAGCCCGCCTCAAAGATCTCAACTGCTGGTAGAGTGGAGAGACAATGGCATTTCAATATTTAACTACAGAAAGTACACTAGTTCCCAGACTAACATAATAATACTTAGTAATTATGTAGGTTCAATACTTGAAATTCGATTGTCATTAAAATACTTAAAATGATTAAAATACTTATGCGGCAAGTGTTCTCTTGCTTTACCGCTCTTGTTTCCCTTATAACACTCAGTTATTGAGCCTAATGTATTCTTTGATAATACGAATTATGACACTGACTATGCTCTTATTATACATAGATTGATTTACTTTACGACTACCTGTAGTACTAACTACCCTTCTGTAGTATTGTTAACCAAATGCTGAAATTTTGTTGGTTCTGTTAATATCTTTTTATAATATGTTTAGACACGTTACTTTGCAATGTCAGATGTCTACTATATACAAGACTGTCATGATAATTTAGTACACTAAGTCCTGCCAACCGACCTTACCTTCAGTTCATACTACCTACATTGATCCCTAACTATATTGTTCTGCTGAATCTTGCTTCACTATTCACAAAACCTATTCTTTTTATTCTTTAAGGTTTAAACTTCTTGTAAAGTAATCTGTTCATTAGGACGCATGCATACATATATAATGTTCATAAAGATGTACGCGGAGACCTATTGGAAGCACTCATTAAGAAAGCTAGGGAGATGGAATATGAGGTACGAACATGTCTGGTACCAAGCAATATATTTGCGGTAGCCATAATAATCATAGTCTCAGAGCTTAACATCAAAAAAGGAGGGAGGGTGGCGTTAGCTGATCAGTAGATATGGTGGGGTCACTAAGGTGAATCGCCCCATTCTGCAGGAACAGCAATATAAAATTTAAAGGCTCGAGATATTTCTGATTTTTATGAGGGCTTAGATCTTTATCTTGAAAAAGATAATAATGAACGCCTTGACAGATCATGCTTCTACCTTTAAATATATACCATTCGCTCAGCCTATTGTTGAGATGCGACCACGTGGGATCTGCACAGATTTATGGGGCATCTTATAAACTAACTTGCTGTCCATTGTCTGATCTTTAAATACCACTTCACAATGTCTTATCTCATTCATTTTCCAATAACGTCTTTACTTGATCCTCATTATATTCCATTAAACCTAACATTTTACAGCTCTTTATGACTTATTATATTCCTACTCTCTGAAGGGTACGGTTGTGCACTAAATGCACAAAAAGGTATAAAACAAAAACAACTGGCACAACTGAGGATAAATGTATTAAAACCAAAAGTGGACATCATGATAGTACGAGATATGCGTGTAGCATTATACATTGCAAATGAACGTTGTCAGCCTAGGGAGTTTTCTTTATTAATGCATTTATTAATGATACTTGCACTTACCTATTTCATTACAATTTAATGATTCACCTCAGCACTTTTACTTTTCTAAAACAGCTTTCAATCCCTTGTAAACGTTGTACTTACCTCAATATTGGTTGGTTATCGTATGCCGACAACCACGGGATGAAAACGAAACGAAGTCGATTTTCCCGCTCAACCTGGAGGACAATTGTACAATTCAATAACTATACAGCCTAGATGGCGGAAATTATCCGTAACTTATCAAGGTCATTGGTGGAGTGAGACGCTCGAAGGCCATTTACGTCCATTTTAGTCGGCCATGTTGGATCGCAGTTCCGTAGCTGTTCGTTTACGCGTTTGTTGTTCCGTTTATCCTGCCGTTATACACGACTTATCTTCTTGCGTATCGTTCACAAATGTTGCGTTTCACCTAATTTTTTGTTTCCGTTGCTGTTAAAATGAATTATTTCTTTGGTTTCGAAAGTTTTCACTACCAGGCCAGTGCATTCATTTCGGTGTAATTGTTTTCATATCAACGCAAGGTATATACCTTGCATTCATGCGGCTTTCAGTGTTTTAGTTGGTTTTCAGCTGTTAATGAATTAGTACTGTGTAGAGGGTGTTGAAATTGTGCACATGAAGATTTTTGGCTGGCAGAAGCAGTTGTTTCCAGTCCATTAGTTGGTTGCCGTTACTATTGTTGGCTCAGTTACTTGCATAACATGTAGAAATCTGGAAAAAGAGTGTCTTTTTCGTTCATGTTTGCAGCATACAACAATCTGCGAGTGAATCTCTTGAAGAGAACACCATCAGAGTTGGTATTAGCAAGGTTTTCGAAGAACAAATTAAACCCAGAGAATTTAGAACCTGGGTTGAAGTTGAAAATGCTTTGAAGCTTTTTAAGAATGTGAATATACCATCAGTGTGTCTGCTATCATTTAAAAAAATATATTGTGAGAGAATTTAAGCCAAATAAGGTTGAGCCGCATGAAAAGTATGAATCTGTTGTGCTTGTGTATATATTTGGGAACTAAAAGTACCTGGATTAATTTAAGGGTAAGTGTTACTTATGCTTATTATTGCTTGATGTACTAGATCGCAATAAATGAACTAGGACTACCCGTAATAGAGCCAGTGTTAACATCCATTCGATGGGTTGCAAAACGGTTTTCAAAGCGGATAAAATACGGTGATCTGGTGAGTGTACAAACAATCCCAGTTAAAGGTAAGACATTAATTAGGAAGAATAACGTTTCGGGTTGTAGTCTACGATTGGTGGTTTCCTCAAAGTTGTGATTCTTCCGTGACTATAGACACAGATGTTCACGATCTTAAAAAAAAACTAAATAAATTATCCTTAAACCAGTAGTCTTCTTTTCTTCGGCGAAACATCCGTTAATACGACTATACGATTAGGTAGCGAAGTAAGATGTTATGTGACTGAGAATCGTGGTTGTTGTGTTTTGGACTAATTTCGCGCATCTGACTGTTATAACCGCATGGATATAGCGTTTTCCTCATGGTACATTATGATATCTAGAAATCATAAGCACGCTGCCATCGGTAAATTTATTTTTACTTTTTAAATGACTGCAAATAGTGAGTCGTTTGAGATGATAGGATGAATACCTCTGAACGTTCTTGTGGAGACTAGGGTATATTTAATTTTTTCGAGTAAGGGACGATCTTTTTACCAGGAAAGTTCTCAGAATTTTCGTTATTCAAAGATAACGCTAAGTTGCCCACTAACGTGGTAGCTATAGGAGATTACCTTAAGCAGAAACTATATTAATGTGGTTTTAGGTAATGCGTCATAGAAGTAAGCATCGTAGGTTAATTGTGTCTAAATGTATTAAACGTTGTATAACTGATCAAACCATAGTTCTTACGTACGAGTTAGTTTTATAAATAATGAATGTACCGTACAAGCGTTTACCTTGATTTGCATACCTAGCTCATAAACATTATGACTGCATGTGGTATACATTTATGGCCAATACGCTGCGATGAATCAGTCCGAGATACTTAAAGTCAGACTTCATTTCCACATCACTATTATCAATTTTGCAACGGTCATAGGAATTAACACCTTCAACTAACTTTCGTTTACATCGGAAACTGAAAATAACAGTTTGACATTTCGAAGGATTTAGTTTAAGAGCATTTTCCCACTCCTAATAGAGAGCTGTTCATCTTAGTACAGTGTAGCTGGCAGTTAACAGACATTGAAGTAGTTAGATCGTCCGCGTGCTTGAAAAAGTTCTTTCCATATGCATTCGTACAAGTTCATCAAACAGAAATACAATTGGTAATGGACGACTTCCCCCTGACCTACAGTGTACTGCTTTCTCCCTGATAAATAAGAATGAAGCCATCTTACATTCCAATATTCAGTTTGAGTTTCAGCAAGCTTATCTAACAGAATATCTCTAGGTACTGAGTCGAAAGCAGATGTGTATTCTAGGAAGGTGCAGCGAATTTAGCCCGATTGTCTATACTGGAGAAAATGTTGTGAGGCAAGACTGCAGCTGCATCTAAAGTACGTCTACTGTGTTTATAGGAGAACTGTTTGGGATCGTTAAAGGCTCTAAGTGAAGGTTGAAGATTAGGTAAGAGTAACTTTCCCTTAGTTCGGATATACCTCATTTGATTTGAAACAAAGGAAGCAGGTCTTATTAACACTTGTAACACTAGAAAGTTTGGCATTTATGGGAGAATTTATGAAAGACTTGTTTAGTTTGCACACACCAAATGAATAGGGAATACTGGAGGTAATTAGATGCATACAGGCGTAGGTTATTTAACATCTATAAAGTAGACATGCAAATACCGCAGTTTTTGATCACAGAAATGATGGATATTAGATAACGTCCTATGATTCAACGGCATATTAGAAATAAATAAAAGCTGTTTCTTAGCTCATTGTCAAGTGAACAGTCTATCTGATGATGTCACTGCATATTAACAGATTAGTGAAGCAGCTATCAAGCCTAAGTTACTACATTTACTTGTACTACATACTTGGCGTTTAACAGTATACAGACTTTCAACTGGCTAGATAAGGCGACTTTAGAGTATCAAACAGTACAGAATTATTATTCAACTTGCTAAATCCCACTTAGCTTTTACAATGTGCTATTGTGTAGAAACAGACACGAAATCCTATTAATGACTAAAGTAACATTCCCATAATACTACAGTAAATCTCCACCCCACTAACTAAGCTTAGCGTTTATTATTCCTAATTCACTTATTACAAAAGCACATAGTATAGCAAGGAATTGAAGAAGTCCAGAGGAATTACAAATCAAGAGTATATTAAACATTTGATTAATTTACAAACGAAAATCCTGATGAAGGGTATTAACGTTATTTTGACCGAATGATGTTTCCGCTGATTTCATATTCGACAACCTCCGTATACCTGGAAAAAATAAAGTACATGTTAGAACTAGCATAACATGAAGTTAACAAGAGATAATTCTACATATTAGCATACAATATGAATACAATCATTCTGTTAAAACTAAGTATTATCTCAGGGAGATGAATGTATTTGTAGTCTACAGCTGATATTTATGTTGACGCCGTATACATAAATATACATCATATGTTTTCCTGCATTTGAGGACTATATGCAAATTTCAAGGCAATCTCCGAAACATTCATACTATTGAGGCGTCATTCTCTCATCAAGCTTACTTGCAGATCAACTTCACACTAAACACTTTTACATGAAATGAAGTATTGCAAGTGTATAACTTAGAAGTTAATCCACAATCTCAGTAATGTCTAGTCCACAAGGTTTTGTGAATCCTACAGAAATCACATTTCCACATTTAGGAGACTATAGGCATCAAATATAAGCTGAACATGCCTGAACTCCAAACAGCTATGCACAGTGTTAACGACATAGAGAAACACTTAAACTATTGTAAAGTACACAGACCTGTTGTGTTGGTGAGGATAATAATGTCATATAATGCAAACTAGAAAATGCAATCGTCACAGCGCATCTGTACTGCTTTGTCTAAATGGAAATCTCAGGGGAAATTCATCTCCACTATTGGTGATCAAAAATATTGCAGCATTAAGTATACAGTCAGTGGAAATTGTAAAACAGACAATAGATTCATAATAATGATAACACAGCTGAATAGATTCAGTTCTCATAATCACCGCGACTCATGCGTGTAATCATACCGTGTAATGATTTAGTGCATTAATTGGAACAACAAGGAAACTTAAACGAGTAATTGCCTTCTCCACTGCACTGTACTTGCAATAATCGTGACAACCACCTTCGTTTGTTATCCTATCAGTCAGCTAAGCAGACAATGGCCCAATATTATTACAGTTGAGATATTTTTGTACATTTAATTCACATAACCCATAGTACACTGCACCAATCAGTGCCAATATATATGAAGTCCACTTAGAGATAACCTTTCAGCTTACCATAATTCCTGTCCAACCACAGGTAGAGTGGAAAGCACATCTAAATGATAACTTAGGTAGCCACAAACGATTCTGATAGCGTTCGCAGTTGATTTTCAAGCATTGAGAGAATTATTTTGTCAAAAAAGCTGTTATTCACACGAAAATAGGCTGTATTGATATCCTGATACATGAAGTCTTCATTGAATGATACTATGACGAAAGGTGCAGCTTCTATATGGAGTAAACGATTTGTGTAAATAGCATTACTTTCTAACTATCCTATCTTCCTCATTATCGCGATACTTTGACACAGTCCACCTGAAACACTAATTGCAACCAATATGTTAAAAGTGTGTCGCAGTCAGATCACATGAGGCGGACACCAACATAACTAGCCAAAAAATGGGAATTTCCATCAATCTAGATAACATATAACACAATTTTATTAAAAATTATGGTCAAAAAAAATTTCCAAGCGGAACTTCAACAGTACGTGATAAATAAGTCCAGCCGCCTAGATCTGACAATGTGTATTTATATATATATCAAATATTTAACTGTTGAAACATTATTAACTTGTAGACATTCTACGATTTGATATTATATCATACTTGATCGTGCCTGTAAAAATGGCATGCATTTTCATGTAAATTTATATGTTTATATGAGAATATACATTATTATTATTATTATTATTATTATTATTATTATTATTATTATTATTATTATTATTATTATTATTATTAACCGTCAATTGGGCGAAGAAAGGAAGGAAGCAAGGAAGAGAGTTCAAGCAACTATCTCAAAGCTTGTCATACAGTCATCGTCAACAGAGTGTTTCAGCTTACAAAATACACATTAATGAAAGAAACACAAAAACAAGAAGAAGAAAAAGAAGAATTCTCACTTCCTTACCATCGTTTGTTTCAATCATACGATTCCAATCCAGTTCTGACGTTCCAAGTCCATGCGCAACGGTCATATGATACAGACATGAAGACCGAAGAGGATATTTTTTATTTCGACACAGGTAGCATCTAGTTGAATGGATTTGAATGAAAAGGAAACGCACACAAAGACGGAAAGTTAGGGCGCGTACAGAATATAACTATATATTTATATATATACACATATAACTAAACACATAAAATGGAACAGCAAGAGGTTGCGTGTATACCGAAACAGACTTCGTGGTTAATTAAAGACGGTTCATCACACAGAAACCCCTCGAATCACTTCTGAAACTTTCCACTTACGATGACTACACAGCGCTTACTTTACAATAATAAACCAAAAACAAAAACATGATGTCATAGACTACTGATTGACTGGTATGAGTAGTTGGACACCAAATCGACAAACAGTGCTTGCTAGCCAGCCAGATCGAAACAACACAGACGGTCGTTTCGCCGGTTTTCGGGCAGCAGCGCTCGATTCACTTCAGGGAGGCGTCCATCCCCATCAGTTCAAATCAACTAAATACTGGTCAGCTACTTTCTTCCCAAAACTAGCAGTAGTAATACACGCTGGATCGAATTTCCAATTTGCAGAATAATCCGTAGCTTCCAATTCGGAAAATAGAATAAATTTGACCTTATAGTTCACAATACGCTGAGTTCAATAGAATAGGAACACCGATGCTGGGACACAGAAGCGCTGACCGCTTGACTAACGCCAACAACCATTATAGTGTGTTGAGAACTGGCTGCTAGCCAAAGTTGGCGGACAGCAATTTACGTCAATGTTTATGTCCCCAGTATTGGTTGTGAGAAAAATGAGAACAAAGACTTTACCTAGGCAGATACAGTTAACATATAGATGATCTGACATTCAAGAAACAGCCACAAACAGATGCAAGGTTAACTTTCTGTGAGAAACAACCACCAATCAGAAGACTGTTTTTCTGATAACACTAATCTATAATATGTACATGAAAATATATAAATATCTGTAGATTTCCTTAATAAACGATCTGTTGCGTGGCTGGTTCTTGTCTTCTGTTGTCACAATAGTACAGCTGGCTATCTATTTCCCCTACCCCACTGTATTTAAGCCAAAAAACGCAACCCTGCACATCACATGGGGAGCATATTTAGCAGTATCCGGATGAGAAGCCTAAGCGTAAATATGCTGACAGAAACAATCATGTGTTTGATCAATGGATAAATATCCACCTGGCCAAGAACGCCAGGTGTAACAGGAAATATCCAGACTGACACCTTCTTTGTACAATCTCATCATACACACGTGTGACATGTCTCACTCTATACATCATCATTTGGTCCACTCAACATTGTCTCTTACGTGATGATATCAGCATCGAAAGGATAATGATAGAAGCAAAGCCTACACAACCACACGAACAGAATGTGGAGGTGACAAAGAGAGAGACAGGCAGACAGATGGACAGGAAGATGTAATGAGAACTTTCAGACACACAACCGGAACTTAGTATACACTTACATTATTGAGCAGTGTTAGTCGGTCAGTGAGTTGGTTAGTCACAGTTAGTTGCTCGCAAAAAAGTGCTTACATCTCATCCTGTGGCATAATCACCACCAACAACACCATCACTCAATCAATAATCAACTACTGTTCCTCCAGAATTCATTGTCAACCTCAATTACAATAAACAGACAGTAATGTGAATTGCCTCAAAAATATATAAATACATAAATACACATACATTTGTGATGACAATGATTATCAAACATCATACTGTGTGTGTGTGTGTGATAACAAAATAGCTTGTGTAATAATAATAACATAGAATAAATAGCCCCCCACAGAATAATGAATGCATGACTAGTAGAAAGGTGTGTAGAATTATTCAGATTAGTAGTAGTAGTAGGGGCAAATAAAGCATTGTGTAGCAACAAAAGCCAAGGTGTGGTGACAACAGTTCTGATGAGACGAAAACAACAACAACAAGAACAACATTTCAAAGACCAATTGACATTTATTGGATCAAATAAGTAAGACAAGACAAAAGAGAAAAGGCGACAAGTGACATCGTATGTCGGGAAATTCGCAGTTTGCAATTTTTACACACACACACATTTCAAGTGGAGACCAAGTTATTTCGATCACAATATTGTGTGGTGTCTCTCTGATACTATGCATGAATGGTAATCACAGGGGAAGGCGAGAAAACTAGCACACTACTGATTGATTGATTGAGATGAGTAGCTGTATGCCATTGAGTCAAACGGGGCAGGGTAGGGTAGGTACACCGCCGCTGACGAGTGCGATCTAAAATGAACGAGACAGCTGTCCAATGTTTAGGTCATATCGATCCGGCTGGGCTGGCCAGTGAGTTTTGCTCGGTTCACATGAGTAGTAATGCAACTACCTACTACTACTACTACTACTGTTACTACTCGTCTCAATCACCAATCAGTAGTTTATAGTTTTATATCGGAGAAATGGCTCAAAGTGTTCTGAGTAATAAAATACCTATCGAAAAATAATAAGAGGTGGAGTGTAAACAACAAATCGATAAAATAGGCAAAGTTAAAATATCACAGCCAAAACTCCAGTAACTTTTAACACCCAATCGATCATCAGAATTCAGATACAAAAACGGTTGCATCGTCGTTGAAAAAAGGCACTAAAAGAAAAAACCCACTGCAAACGTGACATTACACCATACAGTTGTCGTTTATGTGTTGTAAGAATGTCTTTCAGTCGCTGCACAGATGATCTGTGATCTGATCTGATCATACCATACTCGATAGATGCATTCACTCAGGTGAATGAATGTAAGGCGGCCATGATACCTTGAGATCCATTGATCCATTGTGACACTGTTCTTTAACCTACCAACACCTCCTAACCCTCACAATAATCCTAACTCCTTATCCGAACTTTGATCCTAATTCTAACCTCAACTCTACACCATAAACCTCGCTTGCTTTAAAAAGCCATAACCCTAACTAACAGTAGAGATCTGCAGAGAAAGTACCTAGAGAATAAGTAGAATGCTGTGTCTACCCTCTCCAAGTCCAAAAAGCCAAGCATGATTCAATTTGGAATAACCTTTCACAGCAATCACTGCATCTACTCATTGACTGTTGAAGGTGGTCAACTTTTGAAAGACTTTCACTTTTCGGGCTATGCTACTTTAACTTCGCCGATAATTAAGTAGATAAACGCCAATAAGTGTCAACATGCACCTACATATTCTCCTATTTCGCTAGCCAGGCGGACACTTGGTACAGCCAGCCAATGTACTCACTCAACTAACTCCACACCAGGAGCAAATCAACTGGTGTATTATGTATTCTATGCTCATATGTTAATGTGATCACATCAAACTTTTTCAAAAGAGGGATGAGATCAAGACGTTTACACGTAGTAGCAGTAGCAGTAGCTGAAACACTAGCGATCCAAATGAATAAATAAATAAATAAGGCCGAGGTAGAAATAGGGAATGAACATAAACACGCACACACACTTTATCTTATCCCAACTTTTTTCACCTGATTATTCGCCTGTTATCAATCCCATGAATAGATAGTTTTACACTCCTTTTCTAAGATGTATACACGCACACACAGACATTCCATGAATTATTTTTATTAAAATCTCACCAAATCATTACAATGATAATAGCAGTAATCAGAACAGCACACAGAATAGTGTTCAAGCTGATCTTACCACTTACCACTAGATATTGAAGTAGGAAGACAAAAATCAAAATGGAAAAGCCAGAAAGACTTGACAGTCACGCATATATACGTACATGTAATATCAATTCAGTGAGATTTAATTTATTTGAGAACGGTATCATAGACAGAAGGTGCACACACATACCCATAAAGTAACATCTAGGAGTCCCACAATTGAAAACTAACAGAAAGAGGGAGGTGGTGGCAGAACGGAAAAACGTCTATACTAGTCATGAAGTTCCGAATTATGTACGCGAGTGAGATGTGACAGCCTGATTGCATGGTTTTGATTCGTTTATTTGTGGCTTAATTTTCTGAGGTTTTGTGAAAATATAATATGCCATGCATTTTATCGAATACAGGCAGTTGATATCGTTTTAGACGTCGTCTTACTCAGTCCGACTTTCATGTCTCCCTGAGTGCTAGAGATAATTTCAAGACATCAATTGGTTGCATGGTGTTGTGGTGTTTCAGAGGTGTATTCTAGTCAAGTCAGACGAACCTACAAATCATCAGTAACGCTCTGCATCATAGCATATGGGTTATTGATATCTCCTACCACGGGAATGAATCATTCACACTCATAATTACAAATAAGAAATTGAATACGGGAAAAACCTTTTCAAGGTAAATCACGAAGTAACACTGAAAACCAAGGAGTACTACTGGATAGTTTGTTTTGTCCTACGTTGAGGACTCTTCGACAAAAAGCACTTATAACCACATAGGGGAGTGAACTTTTGAGCCTTCTACCCACTGGATGCGTGTCGTTGAAGAATTGCAAACTGGGACGAAACAGCTATCCAGTCAATCAGGTTTGAAACAGAGATTGAAAGTCAAGTGCTTCAGTGAGAATAACCCATATCTAGCACAAATACAGCTGATCCACTGGAAGGAAGAGTGATGATGTCAACAATAGATGACTACCACGACGTTATTTGAATACTAAACTGGAGATAATCATCATTACGTTCCAATCCTAATTCATAAATCATTTCAAGCGAAGAAAATTAGGTAGTCCGCCTCAATCTCCAGAAACCACATCTGAGTGACTCAATCAAAATCAACTGCAATCGCACACACACACACACATCCTCTCATTACTCAACAATGAATGGCAGTCACACATCTTAGTAAAGCCTTTGAAGGTAACTTCATCGATAATGGAAATTTTATTTGATTCTTGCTTCATGACTCAATGAGTACTTTCTGTCACTTAGAAGGACACATGATAATGAGACAATCTTGGATAGTGATTTAGTCGCCAGAATACTACTAGTAAAGCCCCGATGGGGAGCGGCCACTTTGCATCCTCAGCTGCCATTCACATGTGGAGTGTAGTTTAACAACAACAACAACGACATGTCGGATACCATCTGACACTTCTTAACTGTTGTTGTCCATTGAAAATTATTTCTTTCATTTCTTGCCTAACGAGAGCGACACAGAGCTTCAAGCTTCAGACTCAGGATTTTCCACAGTGGTGGGGGGAGGCTGTTAACGTCGCGGCCAACCTCCCACCTTTACCAGACCTAATACCACCGACTAGTAAACACTAGGAGGCGAGTTACGTCTAGAACTCCATCGACTGGAGATCAACTACCTACGGGTGGCTGGCTGGCAAGCATAGCGTAGCACACTACCAATGACGAAGGACCGATTCAAATTTAGACGAGATGGAAATCCCTTTTTCTCAACACACATAACCCACAATGATACATAATATCGTCAAAAGAAAACAAACATAATAACTAAATCACTCACTTATAAATTACCACAGGTACAGACGAATTCGATACAGCTCCACTTGGTATTATTGGTCTATCAGACACCGACCTGAAATAAGTAAAATTCCAAATTTAGATGTCGTATTCACGAATGGACATTGTTTAGAGAAGAAGTGAAAGGCATGCAGAGAGAGCTGACCCGTCCCTAGTAAGCGTGTCTTCATAGAGTGCACAACCATAACACCTCCATTGTGGATCGAAACCAGGGCCCTTCGACTGACAAGGCCTGGTCATTAATAACTCAATCAATAGGTTCGAATTTAATCAGCTGTGAATTCTATTCTCCGTCAAATTTGCGATGATAAAGTGTTAATGCAATCACCAGTGCCACACAGATGAGCATACACATCACGCCCACGACATGGTGAAACCTCACCGGCGACGACATCCGTTAGACCACCTTAATGACACCTACTCGTTAAGCACTAACAACAAGGGACAGCAGATTCATCATATTCACATTTCGATTAATCTCGAATGAACAGGGATTTCTTGATACTACTTGTAGACTTATTCAAGTGGTGGTGAAATATATAACCACTGAGCAATTTAGTCAAATAAAAGTTAATGAGATGGGAAAAACGCACAACTGCAAAGACTAAACACTCATTGTCATGACAATGTCGTCATAATGCCAGCTCCTACAGTAACACTACTCTCACACTTCTGCTTGTAATTCAGCAGTCAGATATTCTTTCTGCTGTGTTATTCTACATGAAAGTTGACAACTAACAAATGGATCATTTCGTATTCGCGGAGAACACTTTTGAAATGCAACAGAATTGTTATGCTATGATTCCTTCAAAAATAATGTGAAAGTTCTATCCAGAGACAGAGCGTTCCCCTTCAGTAAAATTAATCAACGGGGAATTCAAACGGTGACTGTGAGGATGGACAAGCTTCCCTTGTAGGCCATCATGATCCATGCATGATAACCCTATTCAACAGTCTCTGATTCGTTTACTTATGGTGGCTTAATTTTGTCATGGATTTCGATGTCATACAACTAATCATACTTGTCTACTTTATTATTCATGGCTGAGGGTTTGTAAATACAATATGGCCTGTACTTGGTCTAATAAAGTATTCATACTAGTCGTCGTTTTTCCCAGACTGGCTTTTCTTTCTATTTCAGTATACCAGATATTTTCAACTATCGTCTTCTCTTCTGGTCAAATTGAACGAACTGATTTTGCCATAAAAGTGGTCCTCTTGGCTCTGTAATCTTCGTGAATACCACCACCACTTATTGAGGTGCATACATATGTGTGCACAGCTGACAAGACGAAAATAGGACAAAACTCATATTCATATCCCGGATTTCTGCAGAACAGTGTAAGGCTAGAGTGGAGCTTGAATGTTGAAGATACTGAACCACATGTTATCAACTAGTCAGACTGCAAGTAGTAGTACTTTGGAACTAAAGTAATTATAATCTATTATACTGATTTACATCATTTCATGCACAGATGATTAGCTGTTTTCGAACTGAAAAAGTCTCCTTATTATTTCAAAGGTGAAGTTTACATTTTATTGATAAGAGAAAATCTTCTGATACTGTTGTGACAGAGTGTTACTAGCCGTACACTAGCGGAGGAACAGTAAAGAATAGACGACACCAAAGTCAAATAATCTTCAATCGACCAATCGGATCGCTCAACATTACAAATGGATGCGGTTCATAGTTACTCTTTGTTGCAAGTTTCACCAAGATTTGCTTTTCGAGTTTTTTGTGGAAAATGCACACGCATATGTGGTTGAGGGATAATGACTCTTCAGAAGTACTCCCTGGCGGCTATTACTGATGGCGGTTATACACTCAATGTTATATGAGGAAGTCTGTAGGAGTTGGTAAGTTGTACATTATGCTGATGCTTTTAGATACTTTCTTCTCCAAATCGAAACCCTGCCTTAGCCTTAGTAAAATATCAAGTGTATGACAAAATTGTCTACTGACATGACCAGAATCTGCTGCAGCTGTGGAAACTGAGAATACTAAAATGTCAACAGGGCAGTGGTATCAGCAACACAGTCGGAATATCGCCACACAAAAGATCAATGCGACTACTTCTGTACTTGGAGCAATAGGTGTCGTCGTTCATATTGACCAAGCAATCTTTATTACACGAAAAATTGAGTCGCCGCCGTAGGAGAAGAGGAAACCACGTGTTGGGTCCTAGAACTGACCGTACGATACAAATCATAGAAAAGGATTGGTAGAATGCATCCCAAACAGAAGTACTGATGTCTTAATACCAATTATACAACGACTAGTCCTCCCAGGAACTAATATTCACACACACACAAAGTGGAGAGACCTTATTCGCAACTACCACATACCTCACTAGGCTAAATTCACCATTAAGGCAATAATTATTCTGAATAAGTAGAACTCATACAAGTTCTATTGAAGGAAAAGCATATCAGAATGGTAAATGATTCCAGAAATGATATTGTATACAACTTTGAGATAATTTCTTCCTTTTATACAGGATAAGGAAAACAGAATACTGATTAGTGGTCGCGCTATATCATGAATTGGAAGAGGTTGGAATTCATGAACTGGCTAAGTGGCTTAATGGTCTACGAGCTTACTAGCCTTATAAGTGGAAGGTACTGGGTTCGATCTTCAGTGGGGTGGGTGCCTACTGCTGAAGTGTCACACACTAGGACCGAACAGCCGTTTGGAGCAGTACTCCCCCAGCTGGTTTTCCAATGCTTCTCTAACTGATGCCAGCTCATGACGAAATCCTGTAAACAATCAAATCAAATCCTTGCAAAACAACACATGAAATTACACTAAAACCTACATTTCAGTAACATTTGTATCATCCCAACTACGTGATATGCCTCCACTGACCTGCTGCTCTTGCGCCCCCCAGTCAATACAAGGAGTAGTAGTAGCAGAATTATTAGTTGAACTATATTCGTCATTATCATCACCTCCAGCACTAACACCACCAACACCTTCAATACTGCGATGACAACTACCTTGTACGCTGTTGTCGTTGCTGCAATCACCTTTGTTTAATGATAGGGATAACCGTTTATGAGATGTACTTCCACAAGATTCTGAAGTTGTTGTTGCTTTCCTCTTTAAAGATTTATTATCAAATATTTTATGTACATATTCAATAGCACTACTACATGAAGGAAGAGGAGCGGAAGCAGCAACAACAACAGAAGTATTCGTAGTAGTAGTAATAGCGGTAGCAGGAGCAGCGGTAGATAACAATGACGACGAGTTGGAAGTCATAGGAATGGTAGTGGTGCTGACGCTGGTCGAAGAGATGGCGTCAGTTGAAATATTAGATGATAAATATGTTTCATTGATATCTTGTATCTGAGTTGAAGAGGAACCCACATCTGAACACTTCTTATCAGCATTATTATCATTATTGGTCATCTTCTCATGTTCAGGTGAACTCACAATAGTAAGCGCAAAATCATTGAAATTTTCACCGGGATCATGACAATCAGAACCTATTTTTGTTTGACAACAATAACAGAAAAGAAGCAGAACAAAAAGAAGAATAAGAAAATACACTTAACAGTAGTGTATTACAATTTAAGTCAAATAACCCAGAACAAATAATCGTAATTTTCTCATACAAAACAACGATATTAGGTAGTTTACAAATTGATTCCTTTACGTTACGAATGGAGTATTGGGGGCGGGTGGGGGGCACTTCAAGGTTCAGCTTTGAAGTTTTGTTAGCAGTGGTGTTTGTTTTTTTCTCTACAGAGTGGCTTTGTTCGCCTGATAGACACTAGCGACTGGCCAGATTCAGGAAGGTAGTTACCAAGGTTCATGTGAGAAGTCAAGACCAGTGGGGTTCCACAAAGTCGAGTATGACGACAGACACTCGCCGGTGACATTGGCTAGTGCCAACCGTGCTATACCGCGAATTGGAAGAGGTTGGAATTAATAAACTGGCCATTGGGTCAGTTCGGCGTCAAGTGACTTAATGGTCTACGAGATCCTTAGCCATATAAATCGAAGGTACTGGGTTCGAACTTCAGTGAGGTGGGTGCCTACTGCTGAAGTGTCACAGACTAGGACCGAACAGCTGTCTGAGAGTACTCTTAACTACTTTCCAGATGGTTCTCTAAATAAAGCCAGACAATGCTAAAATCCAGTAACCAATCGAATCAACCCCCTGAAAACCAACACTGGGACGTGATTGGTTGTTCAAGTTTATTCGATTGATCGGACGCTTCCATAGGTTGTTGTAATCTATGTTTACCTATCTACCAGGTATACAATGTCTATTATTATAACTATAAGCGGAAGGCCAAACATTCTAGGTACTTCAAGTAAAACACCTCAATTCTGAACGTTTTATACGAAGACACACATACACCTCCTACCTACCTAACCAATCAAATATCAGGAGTATGTGAGCACAGGTTGCTTGCTCTATCTTTTCTAAATACTTCACGGTTAAGTTTTAAATTACCAAGACGGATAGCTGATTCAGTTGCTAGAATGGTTTTTGCATGTTAATTTGAACACAATTACACCTGTAACATATCACTCAAATTACCAGGCTGTATCCCAACGTCTCGTGTTCAGACTGACTGACGCAGAAGTGGAACAGGACTCAACCCCATCCGATGATAGCCAAGTTTAGCCAACAGGTCAATAATGAATTTTTTATTCTCCAGCACATATTCATCGTGGATGCAGGTGTTGTGTTACTGTCATCGACTATGCGAACAATATGATCGTTGTTAATGAGTATTTTTCGCATTGTTTAAAGACAGGCATCATCATCTACGAAATCAGTGATTACACACACACACACACACAACCAATGTCAGGCCAACAAAAAACAACAACATGGGAGATTCACGCACATTCATTTACTCAGTGAAGCCCATCCAAACTTCCCTAATGTGATAATTCTTTCCAGGCGATAACTTAGCTGGAAAGATATTACATAATAACACTATTCAGGGAAGTCCTTCACAATCGATAAACGAAGCACCATGATGGTGTTGAGATAGAAGAAAAAAACTGTCACAGGTAGAAAAACGAGACAAAGACTCACTTTTCCTGGTAAGACATTCACCAATGGGTCAACCCAAATCAACTTCTCAATTTAATACGTAAGTGTTTTTGGTTAATTTAAAGCTCGCCTTCTCCGTACTGGTGTTCTATTTTCGACATCAGTATTCAATGGGTGATTGTTTTTATTGATTATGTTTATTTATTTTATTCCTCCTTTGCTTTCCCAGTGGGACATACGTCTTCAAGTTCGACCTGTGAAGCTTCAGTAGCAGTAGTGTCTTTTAGGGGTTGGTGGGGAGGGGGATTGCTAGCCTCACACCACACTTTACCTCTTTGTTGGGATTGTAACCTGCTGTGGGAGGTAAAGGTGTGCGCCGACCGGGACTCGAACCCGGACCACATGTATGGCTAGTTACCACTTTACCACTGGACCACCACCAACTCACTTCAATATTATAAATCAACTCAACTGATCACCACTCATCAAACATTTGAAAAATGCGATTGTCAATCATGTCACAAGCATTATTTATTTTATTGTATATTTCATAAAATCAGCACTGTCATTACCATAATAAGACAGAGGTAGGGCAGTCTCATCACTTTCCTGTGTGAGAACTCATCACTGCGTCAGTCCAACAACCTTTTAAATTGATTATTCAGCACATTTGTTTAATTTTCGTACATGGATGACTAACCGACTGACTGAATGACAAGTGATTAATTGTCAGGTCTGATTTATTGTAAATGTTGTATCGGTGAATAGTACTCGTTGTTTTCAAATGATTATTGAGAGAGAGAGAGAGTGAGTGAGAGTTCATACAATTTCATCTTTTTTCTGAGCAGTGTTCATCATTCAAACAACTACACTAACACTAACTAACACTAATCATCAGTGCAATTGTGTGATTACTGGTCAATTAATTAGTAATCAGGTCAGTTTAGTCTTACTTGATAAAAAAGTCAGTTAATGTGGACGACAATAAGGTGGAATACAAGCAATTCGAGTGGCTTTCAGAAAACCCTGAATGATAACTAATACCCGTTACCTGTTGCACAAGAGGATGGCACTCGTCGCCCAAGTAGGTGGTGGCCCATTGGATTTTTATTTATTTTTTTATTTTCGATTACAGCTTGATTCCACACTGTATTTTTGGTACAAGTATGGAATTTTCAGTGTCGATATCGGTAGCCCAAATTTTGTAGGCCAACCATAGATATCAGGTGTGCGTCGGCGTGGGCTCGAATCCCGGACCATGTGCATGGTCGGCGAGAGTCCTAACCACTGTGCCATCGACGCACTATGGCTACTGGTTAGAGCCTCAGTGGAGTGGACGAAAACCATCACTCGCTGAGGAGGGATGCAGGTACAGCTAGTCGATAAGTCAGTCCCAAATACGACCAAATGGTGTAAGTGCGTGTGTGGGAGGTGGGTGGGTTCCACTGCTAGTCACCATCATTCATCAAATTACTTCAAATTCTTAACCAAGTTTGAAAATACGAAATTTGTTAGTAGTTATGAACATGTGAATGCCTGAAATCTACTATCCTATGCTTCCAAGCCATTAATCCAAGGTAATGGTTAAATGCATAAGATGTTACATGACTGGAAATAATAATCAAGGGGAATCCCTAGGCCTAGGTGAAAGAAAACACACATATGGTTAACAACACCGGTAATTCTGATGAAAAGTAATAACTGTATTCGGGACAATGAATACATCAGTACTAATATGAGTGATTTTGTATCATCCCATCGACGGTCTCCAACCATTGACTTTTATCAGCGTCAAACGTAAATAGAGGCAGAAGTAGGAATTCTATCGGTTTCACGTTAGATGACGAACTAACATCAGTTAGACAACTTTTGACATCCAGAGAGCTCAATCCCCAGTGGAGTGGGTCATAAGTGCATACTGCTGAATTGTCGAAAACTAGGACGAGACAGCTGTCCTATACACGTCCGTTTCCAGTGACTCTTTCAACTGATATCAGTTTGTGATCTAACTTAAATTTGTATTTCGTTCTGATACCAGGAGATGGTCACAATGATAGCGCATATCATCCATCACATTGAGTAAAGTCTCAATCATCAGTAAATATTGAGTATACCACCACCTTCTTGTGGTAGTCGAATTATCTTTACCTGGTTGGAGGCTCACAGTTTAACCATCTCCTACACAGCACCATTCTGCACCCTCTTCTCTCTCTCGCTCGCTCGCTATTTTTCTGATATTATTTTAACAAGAAGAAGAGGAAGAAGAAGGCTGGTCTTTTATACACACGGAACAGTACCACCACCAAAATACTAGGCGTGTGCTCTGTCACTGTTTATTAGAATATGCATGTTATGTAATCCCTACTCAACATGCATCAATCTTGCTTCATTAATTTCAAATATCTAATCAATTTTCAACTTCCATTTTCGAAAGTCAAAGACTTGGAGAAGCTAACTAGCTAGCTACTTTTGACCAAAGGATTTCTGTCTTGTCTTACTTCGCTGGTATAATATGATGAGTAATACTGAGGTGGTGGTTTGGCGTACAGAGTGTTAGGTAAGTAGTAGTAGGGTAAATCCAGTCACAATGAAGTCCTAAGACAGCTCTACATCGAGCTGATTCATAATCTTCCTTGTCAAGCTGACATAGAAGAAATGAATAGTTTGGAAAGAATTACAGGGATGTGAAACCAAAAACCTGACATCAATTCATCAAGTCCATGGGTACGGGTTTCGGTCAGCCACATATATAGCTAGGCAGGTAGATGTAAAATGTCTAGTTTAGGTCCATGCCAAGCTAAGAACCAATGCCAACAGAGACTGTTGGTGCTATGCTTCAAAATCGTTCCCAATATCGGCGATGCATTCACTCATCGCATACACTAAAAACGCTCATGTTATTCCAGGTGACACTATCCTCTCTCTCTCTCCCACTCACTCACTCACCCATACATTTCTACTTACTTTAGTTCACATTTGAATGCTTTTATTTTGCAACTGTTGGTTTGCAGCAATCTGACTGCTTGCAAGATTTCCTTAACAGCTGACAAGGATAAAAAACCACTGTCAAACCTGGAAATACTGGAGTGCCGCTTCCTACTTAATTTGACACTTCTCAACGGTATGCACCCACCAAAGTTTGACAAACACTCGCCGATGACATTACATTGCCTAGTGCCAGTTGCGCTATGTCGTGAACTGGAATAGAAGTCGGAATGCATAGGTCAGAAGGTCATGACTTCGAATCCTGGAGGTAAGTGCATGAATGACGTCGAAGAGTCCCAGACTAGGCTCACGAGGAGGCTGTCCAGTAACAGTACTCCCACCTACCTGGCTTACCAATCATTCTCCCACCGATATTACCTCATGATGAAATCCTTCCTGTAATCTCTTTTCCCTTTATCGAGACCCAATTAGTCCTCAGAGAATTATGGGTTACACAGTCGTAGGTGGCATATTTAGTCAAGTCAACAAGCTGATTGATACTCATAAACAACAATAAAGCAAAACAACAAGTGCATATTACTGTCACGCACGTGGTCATCAGTACGATGTATGTACATACGTCACCACCATCATTAACAACAACCAAAAGAAAAAAGAATTTATTACCATTATCATAATTGTAAGAATATCTTGGTAGCTCACTTTCACTACGGTCTAAATCAATTTCCCTAATGAACAGCTGCTGCTGGTCGGGGTGCTGGTCGTGATGGTTGTCAACATCATTCACACGAAGACCAGCTTTCGTCAATGATGATGATGATAATGGTGCTGACGACATTGACAACGAAGACATTGAAGGAAATGGACCGTGTTGATGATGATGACTATTATTCAGGAGATCACGGCGTTGATTCATGCACTGAAAAATGTGATCCCATAAATTAGCCGATATTTCCATTGAATGTGGTACGATAATCTCAGTCGGTGGTGTCGGTGTCGCTGTTGTGGATGTTGATGCTATCTTCTTCGTGGTCATCAAAGAAGATGGAGATAAAGACGACGAAGACGAAGAAGCGATAGTTGGTAAAGATGACATTGATGGACAGGCATTTGGCATCTGTACATTCCCATCATCAGTACTGATGTCTAACGAAGGCGAATTCTCATCAGAATTGAATGTGTAAATACAACAAATATAGCATAAAGTGCCCTAAAAATAAAATTATTATTTCTTTGTAACAATCAATTCATATCACATAATAAAATTACGATAAGATAATACAAGTGTACAGTGCAAAATATCAACATTCAATCGCCAATATTTACGCAGATGCAGTTTTCCAACAATAGTTCCCTGTTCAAGTCTTTGAACCATCAACGGTATTGTATAACGCCGGACGACAATGTCAACTGCACTGCACACCTGGCCGCGGTGGGAACACCATCAATGACTCACTGAGGAATCCAGGTACATCCAGCTAGTTGACGAGTGAGTCCCTAATAGAACGAAATGCGCATCCTGCTAGACTCCACTGCTAGTCACTATCCATCAATTAATTTTCTCTAATCATTCGCATAAATATATTGGCTGACAGAAGAAGGCCCGAGAGGACGCTTAGTGCTATGACGATATGTTTTGCCGTTAAACTGAAACTGCACGTTTATCGTACACCGCGTAGTAATAGTAATACTACACAAACAGTCACCTGTGTATCTCCTACTTCACCAGATATATAAATGTATAGCCTGTTGTAAATACTTATAGAGTGTAACGTGAACACTAAGTCTTCAACAGACTAAGAAGTATTGACTTGACATTGGTGTTAAAATCCAGATCTTGTCATTGTAACTAAACGCTGTGGATCTCTTCACAGTGTTTTCAAAGTGATGTGAATATACCGGTTGGTTAATTTGAATTAAACATCGACTAACTAACTAACTAACCAACCAACTAACTGACACTTTATTATCGATGGGTGCTACTTAACTTCAGAGAAAAGTATCTCTAAATCAGAGATAGACAGACAACTCTGTAAACTAAAAAATGAATTATTATTACAAGGTAAAAGACACGACACACGAACAAACGAACACAAAAGGAAGCCAACACCTACCCAATGCTCTGAAAATGCATGCTGTGTTAACGCCCAACGAGTACACAGCACTGTGGGACAAATAGGACATGTAAAGGTTAAGCTTCCTTTAGTTGCTTCTAAAAGGTGGGCGTCAAATTGTGGAGAAACACCAAATCGTAGCTACATTAAATTTTTTACGATGAAACAGAATAGGAGAGAGAAGGAAATAAAAGATGAAGTGGGTGTACAGGGAATCACTTAAAAACAAAACAATCGTCTAAGTGCTACACATTAACCTGCGAACAGAACAAATAGAGTACTTAGGTCACGAGCTGACACATCACTCAGAGAACTATTAGAAAACCATAGAGTATTGAGGACAGCTGTTTCATCCCAGCCCAACCTACAACCTCATTTCTTGGTGTACCCCGCTGGTCACAATTCCCCATATATCACGAATCAACAGAAATTGGAATTCATAGACCGTTGAATTAGGTCCTATCATTGGCTGAATGAACTACAAGATCACCTTGTAAGCAGGAACTCCTGGGTACTAACCCGATGGGCGTGTACTGATCAAGAGTCACACTCTAGGATTAAAACCCGCTGTTCACCTCAGAGTAAGTAAGTCAGGATGTACAATTAATGGAGTAGACTGTCTGTCTGTCTGGATTCAACATAGAACTTGGCACCGAAGTGCAGCAGTTCGAGTTGCCACCTTCCTAATAGCACACAGAGGTAGACAAGAAGATGAGTGAAGAGAATTAATAGAGTTTGACAAATATAAGAGTGAAACAGAATGGGTAATGGTAGAAAGGAATATGAAAGATTACAGAGATTGAATACATCTGCGCCATTGACAACGATTTTGAGCCATGCCACCTATTGTCTCCAGCCATTGATTCCTAGAGTCCCGAGGGCCCCAACCCGGGAGTCTGCATCTCCCTACCTGACTCAGTTTAACTGTCAAGGATTTCATGGATTGATGCCATGTTTTTGTTTGGCCACCACTGGCTCTTTTCCAACCTGAACCTATATCAGCTAACAATGCCCGTCGGGGGAGGCGGTGGTTAGGCATGCGCAGCACGTGACCTAGCCATCTTAGTCTATGTAACTTTATAACCTCGTCGATTGATTTTCCCTCTTTGCCCAACACTCTACGCCTAACGTCAACATTACTTATCTTGTGAAACCACCTAACGTGAGACAGAGACGTATTATAACCTCCTAGTTAACCAGAGTTGGGTGGCAATATAACCCAACTGAGAGAAACATCTTCCTGCTGTTACGATCCACTACTCGTCAGCAAAACAAAATTCACCTTCACAGACTCTCAAACACTGCATAAGACACCTACACAATCATGGAAACTACTTCAAGTTTGACCATGCTGCTATGCAAACAATCTTCCTTACACGTCAAGATATATGCAAGAACATTCCTTCTAACCAAGACAACAGAGCTCGTTGAGTCATTTCGATATGTGGGAGACCGTTGATACCGCCATGTCTGAGGAAACAACATGGTCAGATAACATAATTCACAAGAAACTATATATAAATAAAACACATAATAAAATCCTTAAGGATAACGAAAAATAATGAAGGTAAATTGCGTAAGACAAAAGTGCAATCTTTGTGTTATGTTCTGCTGCTGAGTGGTTAATAGTAGTTTTCCCCGTCGCCAAATTGTTATGTACTCGTCGCTAAATTATTGCTATGTACTGGTCGAGAATTTAATAGTCCTGACGCAAGAAGGCGGAAATCAGAAGACCACTAGGTTTGCGATGATACTTCTATTTTCCAAACACAAGGAGAAGCAATAAGTGGTATCACACCAAAGTAAGTAAGTCACACAAATTGTGAGAGCGAAATATATATGACCATCCAGACAAGGGTGTGAACAAATCAATAGACAGTCTTAACATGAATGGCTAATTATAATGGAGTGTCGATCCATATATACATAGCAAAATATAGCAGACATGTCAACAACCACCATATATGGATATATGTCACCAAGCAACGGACTGTCAACAAACACTCATATTATATATAATATAATATAAGGGGAATATACATTGTTAAAGGAGACAGGTTCATCAAAGTGAAATGGTCACAGACTACGCGAGCAAACAGAAAGAGAGACCAACATACACACACACACATAAATATATATATGTGGATACATATCACCTCCCCTTTTGAGAAGATTGATGATTAGTAGGATGTTTTCCTGGGGGTTTATCTGGAACCTTTGAGCTTGTTGTTGACGTCTGTCGTTTCGTCTGCCTGTTGGGTTTGCGGCTTCGGCTTCGTCCGGAATTGTCTGACATTTTATGCTTCTTGACCGCATTGCATAGCGAATTTAGTGGGACATCAGCCAGATGCAAACGATCGAACCAATCAAGTCCCAAAAGATTTAAATCACTCTTGGTGACGTAGCAAATTCCTGTGAATTTGGTATTGCGGAAGGAAACAGAACATTTGAGTTCACCAATTAGTTTGAGGCGCCTACCACAGGCGCTGAGAAGAGTCTTGGAAGTATTTGCGATTGGTGGTCTGCCAATATTATTCCAAAGTTTCTCTGATATAACAGTAATATCAGAGGCGGTATCTAGCTGCAGACGTGCATCATGACCATTCATCTGAAGGTCAATATATTTCCGCATACCTGGTGTTGTGACTTGACAGGTTGCGAGTAGACTCAATGATCTCCTTGGAGATTTAGGACCAACAGTTTGTCGAGCTTTCGCTGGATTATGATATCTGGGTTTGCGTGGCTGACAAAAACCATTTTTATGACCGATGATTTTGCACTTGCTGCAACGATGATTTTTGTACGGACAAGACTTTACAAAGTGCCACGCGCCACAATGCCAGCATGGTGATGGTGGGGTCTTCTTTGCAGTAATTTGAGAAGTTGGACGAGTATGTGTAGATTTCCGCGGAACATTAGAAGAGGGTGGGTCAGGAGTGGATGATGAGAGATTTTTGCTCTTTCGTAATGCATAAATATCAGAGCTTCTCGAAGGTGTTGATTCGACCAGGTGTGTATCTTTCTGCAAATTAATCAGCCGTTGATATTCATCAGCTATGTCATGTAATGTTAACTTAGGATTTTGTTCTAGCTGATTGAGCAGTCGAGTTCGGATATCTGTGAAACGAGGAGACTGAAGACTGCATATGAGAATTAAGGCTTTGAACTCATCATCTGTTAAGGACCTGAGTCGAAATCTCTCACATTCTCGGTTGACTGTGCCAACGTGAGTAAGAAAATCATCATTTTCATTCATTGTCAGCTTGAGGCAACGATAACGTATACTGAATAATGAGGAGTGGTCTCCAAAATGTTCATTCAGCAGCTTTATTGTATCACCGAAACACTTGTCACGTGGTTTCTGGGGTAAAATTAGGTTGCAGTACCGTTCATATTCTGCGGGACCCAATTTACGTAACAACACTCGCACCTTCCAAGCATCGTCTTGTGAGGCGAGATCAACAGTGAATAAATCCTCATAACGTTGATACCATGTGTCGAAAGTGATATTCGCATCTGGATTATAATTGAACTGTGAAATACTATTCACAATTCCATCGACAGATGGTAGCATGGTATGGTTCGGATTGCTTGAAGGTGAAGCTGGACCAGTCTGTTGGTTGACGAACATTTCCATTAATTTCATTTGTCGTTCAAACAATAATTCCAATTTAGAAGGATCCATAGTTTTCCCGTCGCCAAATTGTTATGTTGCTGCTGCTGAGTGGTTAATAGTAGTTTTCCCCGTCGCCAAATTGTTATGTACTCGTCGCTAAATTATTGCTATGTACTGGTCGAGAATTTAATAGTCCTGACGCAAGAAGGCGGAAATCAGAAGACCACTAGGTTTGCGATGATACTTCTATTTTCCAAACACAAGGAGAAGCAATAAGTGGTATCACACCAAAGTAAGTAAGTCACACAAATTGTGAGAGCGAAATATATATGACCATCCAGACAAGGGTGTGAACAAATCAATAGACAGTCTTAACATGAATGGCTAATTATAATGGAGTGTCGATCCATATATACATAGCAAAATATAGCAGACATGTCAACAACCACCATATATGGATATATGTCACCAAGCAACGGACTGTCAACAAACACTCATATTATATTATATATAATATAAGGGGAATATACATTGTTAAGGAGACAGGTTCATCAAAGTGAAATGGTCACAGACTACGCGAGCAAACAGAAAGAGAGACCACCATACACATATATATATATATATATATATATATAGTGGATACATATCCTTTTGTTATATGAACATTGAGGTAGAGCAAAGATTGTGAAAGAAAACAGGTGAGGGAAACATTCTCTTATTGGACACTAGGTAGTAACACTAATCTCATACACTTAGCGCTTGGTGTTAATGCTCACTGACTGACTGAATTCTATCAGTCGAGTTCGCCATGTGGCAATTACCACATCTTGAAACTACGTTTCGTGCTTGTCGACCCTAGGTGAAGCGAGGCGCATCATCTGTAATAGTGATCGAATTCATGTACCTACCCAGATTCAAATCGATCAACATTTGCCTCCAACCATCATCTCATATCACCTATTCACATTTCAACGTCATCATGGCCACATTGCAAACTTGATTGACTTGATGCAATTCAGTCTGCATAAAACGAAAGAATCGGCGCATGATACTGGTTACCACATCATGGCCCAATAAAAGTACCCACTACGCTGAATACCTCAGTGATAACATCTGTCAGTGTCCCACTTGAGTGTCCCGGCTCCAATGCTCGAAAGCGAAATGACTACCATCAAGATTAAAGAGACGCCATGTTGACTAGTGAATGCCAACAAGCACGAAACCTACCCACGTACCTACCTACCTACGTTAGGCATGGCTTCCTGAGCCGATTACCTTCAACTATCCAACAACAATGAAAAATTCTACTTATTATTTTTTGTTTTATAATCCGCCTACTATTAGCTATATCGGTGTATGGCGTGATGCTTTCGTTCTTATCACTGATAAAATCAATGAATTAACAGCTGGGTAGGTGAGTGCAAGGTGTCCATTTACAAGAGAAATATCGTCTGTATTGCCTTTCTGAATAGTTTAGTGCATCATTTTCTCTACCGTTAATTAGACCGTTCATTCCAAAGTATTTCTACAACTAATTGATTGAAAGTGATTTTGAGGGCTTTTCTTCTTTATACTTTTTCGCTTGGATTCTCTCTCTCTCTTTTTGTATTTACACTTACCCACGGATCGTGTACTATTCCACATATTACTATTATTATTATTACTATTATCATTATTATTATTATTATTATTATTATTATTATTATTAACAACAACAATACATCTGTATACGTATCTGTGTTCACTTGGTCATACGAGGTGAGAATATCTTCTCTGTCTATTTTAGAACATAAGTCTACTCAAAGTGAACACACATACACCACCTATAAAATAATAATGACGATGATCACAGTGTGCAATACCAAATATAACGTGAGCACACATTTGTATGTATGTATGAGTGTGTGTATGGATGGATGGACGCACGGATGCAGCATCGCTGTTTCTCGTCCTGTGAATAAGGACACGACAGTATGGCATGATTTTCACTAATTAGGTCAAATAGTAAGCAGACACTATACACACACTATACACAAACATACATACATACATAGAAGTGTGACATACACTGTGTAACTTATTCCTGTTAAAATGAGATGGCCACCACCAAAACACACTGAGTGTGTGTCGTATAGCGCATCCAGTCTCATTTCTTATGCCAACCAACCGACCTACTGACTAACTAGTCACACAATTTCAAACGATAGCAGTCTCTCTCTAGATGGACATGAAAATGACGCCACATACATACACTACATAAGAACTGTCATTTTTTGAATGAGAGAATAGAAGGCACAGGTGAAAAAGATATGTCAGTATAGACGATGATTAGCGAATTCAACGATAGCAAGGTTGGATTCCTCAAGAACAGAGGAAGAAGGATCTGTACCGATGACATCCTAGACAATGAATTAGTGTACACTTCCGAATTGTGCTGGTCCAAAAGGATTCATTTTAGTAGATTTGCAAGGAGGCACATGAGTAGTGAGTACAACAAAGAGAAACTGACCACACTTAAAAAAAGAAACAATTGTTCCCTTGGCTGAAATTCAATGAGAACCTGGCTAGTGAAGTCCTCCGTGTAAGATTATCGACAGCCATAAAGAAAGAGATATACTGCTGCCACGCTTTGCTTGTCATTTCCAACTACCTAGATGTGCTCTTCCAGATGTAGCCTACCCTACCGATCCTAACTAGCTTTGATATTCTCGTTCATTCTGTCCATAGTATAGTTGAAGCGATGCTGCACTCAGGTAAGATACACAGACGACAACCATCCGTTCCCATATAGGATTCCCAGTACATATATATCACAGGATATATGCCAGGAAGGAAACTCTGAAATATGAGTAGAACAACAAATCACTCAGTGTTTCAGTGATATCTTAAAATAGATATAAGCTGATGCCTCTTATATATTTCTACAAGACTGATTATTAGTGAAGAAAGAATATTTAGTTCGACAACCTCTTCAGGTTCCACAATACACCGTATACATCTATAATAGTTAACGAATGGTCGTCATTGACAACACATCAACAGTTTTTAAACAACACTGAGTCACTAACATCAAAATTCCGCCTAATAGTCTATTCAAATAGATTGTCAATGGAGAACAGTTGAAAACATGCATAAATAATTTACTAAGTTGAATGTCCGATGTCCAAGTAAATGATCGTGATTACTAATCAATATATAGTAGACAATGCTCATATCATCAATATAATCTGGATGCTCAATTCGTCGCATTTACGAAATACATAATAGAGACAGTAAACACAGGTGTGAGACAAAGGAATAGTAATAACGAAGAACGATATAGTTTCATTTCAAGTCACAAGGAGTGGATGCATCTGCACCAGTCAGCCATTGAGAACGATTTTGAGCCATATGATCAATTGTTTCTGGCCTTCATTGGTTTTTTCCGTCACGAGGACCCCAACCAGTCAGGAAGTCCACACATTCCTACGTGACTGGCTAAAACTAACTGTTGTGGATTTCATTGAGTGGTGCCATGTTTTAGTTTGACCGCCACTAGCTCTTCTCCAGTCTGACCCTATGTCAGCTAACATTGCCCGTTGAAGTAGGTGATAACTAGGCATGCCCCAGTGACCGGTGGTGTCCGCACTAACACCCACTCGCTCACTCACTCATGAAATCCGCATCCCGGTGGATTCCACTGCTATTGTGTCACAACCATCCATCAAAATTACTTCAAATTAAATAATCAACAGACATCGTCGAAACGTGTGCTACTAGGTACTAGGAGCCAACCTATTACAACTACGGAGGCTAAATATTTTGGTCATTACATCAAGGCTGAATTAAAAACAAATAATGTTTGTACTTTTATTATCCTTGACTTTATTATTATTGTACTGCCATTATTATACTCATCGTTAATTATTGACATAGTGTTATGTACTCGTCGCTAAGTTATTGTTATGGTCTGGTCGAGAAACTAATAGTCCTGACGCGAGAAGGCGGAAATCAGAAGACCACTAGGTTTGCGATGATACTTCTATTGTCCAAACACAAGGAGACGAAAATAAATGGTCTCACACCAAAGTGGTAAGTAAGTAAAGTAGTTCACACAGAATGTGTGAACGAAATATATATATAACAAAATATATATAGCAGACATGTCAAACAACCATATATGGATATATGTCACTAAGCGACGGACTGTCAACAAACACTCATATTATATATAATATAATATTAGGAGAATATACATTATTAAAGGAGACAAGTTCACACAAGTGAAGTGGTCACAGACTAACCGAGCAAACAGAAAGAGAGACCAACATGCACACACACACATAAATATATATATGTGGATACATATCACATAGCAACAACACTCACCGTCATTAGTCAACTCTTTCAGATACATACATAAATACATATACATAGAAAAAAGCTATGCACAATAGACTAAAGTACGTAGAACATCTAATCTTATTATTGTTGGTTTTTCATGTCTTGCGCTTTAATAAGGTATCGGGGGGCGGGCGGGGAGTCGGTGAGGTAGGTTGGAAGAATTTGTTGTTTGTTGCTTTTTATTTAATTTGACAAAAATGAAGAATAATCAAAGAAATCAAGAAATAAAGCTATGAAGGTCAAAAGTATGGAAAACAAGATTCATCATTAACTCAAAAATATCTCGACGTACTATTTCAGGCTACTAGGACTGCGACTACTACTACCAGACTAGATTGTTTACACGACACTTCTTCTTTAGTGTCAAGGTGTACATAATTCATGACTCATTTGTGCACTTTGTTAATTATCAACTGGAATCGTTCTGGTGTTTTTTGGCTTTCAGTGTTGTTCAAGTTGCACAAAACTCTACTTTAACTCATGTTCTTTTTTATTAAAATAAAAGAAGTACAAAGTTTAAAAATTAATTCAGCCCATTTTCCTCCAGTCCATTGAGATTTCAATTTGACTTTTTATGAGTTGATCACGGATTGATGTCAGTCAGAGAACCAGTGAAAACCAGCCACTGGGAGAACTGGACAGCTGTTTCATCATCAACAGTACACACCCACTGCCAGGAGGTTCGAACCCAGGACCTTCTGGTTACAAGGCAGTTACAAGCTAGTATACACTTTAGCCACTGGGACTCGATTGAGTGGTTCATGAATTCCAATTTGACGCTCAAATTCTATCAGTGTGTCACACCTCTCCAACACATTTTATTTTTTATATTCCTTTACGTTCCCAGTGGAACACAGGGGACTTCGAGCTAGAAGCTTGAAGTTTCAGTAGCAGTGGTGTTTATTCATTACGGGATGGGGTTGCTAGCTAGTCAGCCAGCCATATGCCCAACCTTTCCCCTTTAACAGTTATATTACTGGCTTAGCGAGTGAGGTGAAAGAGTGCGTAGGCTGGGGATCACACCCTCAACCACACTCGTGGTTGGCAACCATTCTACCGCTGTACTACCGATGACGCCAAAGATGAAACGTCGTTGTCGTCGCTCCTACACATAAACTGGTTAAAACGGTTAGAAGATGTTTTAAACCCACTATGCAAAACTCGAATTATGTAAGTTTGCTTTGAATGAAGGATACTTTTCAAATTGTTGACTGTCCAGTAGATGCGAACATACAAGATTCGAAGGTGGTGTATTCTTTTAGTGTTAATTCCTTGTTTACTAATGTACCACTGATTAAGACTGTTGATGTTATTTGTGATTACACATCTTCTAGTTGTTTTCCGTTCCTTTTTGCTTTAAAACTTATTTGAAACATTTATTACTATTATGTACTAACAACGTCCACTTCACATTTAAAGGTGAACACCTTTGATGAGTGGATGGTGTTGGCCACACAACATTTGATGCATCAGCCATTCGTATGATCTACAAAATCCGACAAAGTTTACACAAAGGGACACAATTCCATTTCTTCTGCTTTGCATAACAAAAGCTTTGACAATTACAATAACATAAGGTCAGAACTTTGTGTACACTGTGAACGATTGTAAAGATGATTGTAGAGAGACCGTGAACAAACTACGCGATTATCGCGTTACTTGAAGATTTTGCACAAGTGGTAAATACCCAACTCACCATGCAATAAAAACACACCCCGAAAATACTGGATTGTGCGTAGACACACACACACACACACATTTTCAGAATAAAGCTATTATCATCTTGATTAAAACGGAGAGAAATATCTGAATATTCATCAAAAAACAAAACAAATATAGAGGTCGACGACAAGTCACGCAGGCACGCACACACACACACACACTCACAAACAAAACATAGAACAACAAGACTGGTGATGTCCATTAAGCACGAAATCTAACTTACATGTCGATAAACTTCTATACAACAGGGAATGTGATCATTAGGTTTCGGGAATAGAAATTCCTCTGATGAATACTGTCGATTATTTGAAGATGACGATGATGAACTCGGATGCTGACGCTTCAATCGACGTAGTTGTATAGGATCTGGAGGAACAATACACGATGACTTGTACTTGTCTGCATGTATCAAATGTGTTCCAGAATGCGATAAAATAGCCAGTGGAGAATCAAGTAAGGCTAATCCACATACACAATGTGGTAGAGCTACACACGAAGGTGAAGACGAAAATGACAAGAGAAGCAATTTAAAAAAAAGAATAATCAATTGAAGCACACTGCAGCATTGACAAACACATTACTCTAACCTGGGGACTAAGGGTATGAAGATCTTGTTGTGGTGGGACACCTCGACTTTTATTTCACTTCCGCCAAAAAGACTAACTCTTCTCTGAACGCCTTTTTTTCTATACGACTGAATGGGGATTTACAACCTTCACAATCGTCACCATCACCATCATCATCATCGCCAACATATACTCTATCTCTTACCAATCAGAGACTCTCAGATGATCTGACCATTGAAAAACCGATTAAATAAGGCAGTGTATTCGCATACAGAACTAATGCAAGTGTGAATGACATTGACACTACTACCAAAAGAGACAAATATGTCCTATTCCTTAACAGGTATATCGGAGTATCCTGACCGATAGCTGCAGCCTTGAAGTGGTGGTCAGGCTTGCGCATATATTCCAATGACCCACCCGACGGATCACGCTGGTTTGGCGAAGTCGTGCTGCTATCGAGTAGAGATGTAACACGAGAAAGGAGTTTATCTCAGATGACCAGCAAGTCACCAATGTTACCTTACCTTTCCACTCTGGGTAAGCAGGAGGCTAGAAAAGATCGTCCCAGAAAACTGGAAATCCCGACTTACCTTACGGCGGTCCATACACAGCGGTACGTTTTTAACACGAACACAATCTTAAAAACACAAATTCAAACAGGTCATATATGACCACCAGTCTAAAACTGCTGGCCCATGGCTCTGAGGTTACACAACATTAATGCTCTACTTTTTCAGGCATTCCAAGCAAAAATCAACTTTCAAGGTGTGGGTAGTCGGGAAGTGACAACCACCCACACACTTCCTCGTAAAGCACACAACGTTCGCCTGATCACCAGTCATAGGGGTTGACATATGGAATAACACATACTGCCAAACAAAAGTTATTATGAAAGTGAACAGTTTGTATACACCCACAGCATCCTACGAAACTCAATCTCCTGTAAGGAAATTTAAACAAGATTGAAATCTTGTCATAACTGTTTATTTACGTCAATTTGTATTTCCCGGGTGTAGTCTGGTCAATCACTTTGGAAGTAGGACGAAACAGCTTCCCGGTGATCAAAGTGATCCACACACACACACATTGGACGTCCGTTTCGCCAGTCTAGGGTTCGAGTTCTTCATTGACCACTGTAAGCGGTTAGATTCAGTTAACAAAGCCGAATCACCTCAAAAACCAAACAAATTCTGGCTAGCTACTTAAGACGACGCTGATGCTACATAGAATCGAATTCGCAGTTGACCAATTCATTAAATAGACACATAGTAGAAGTAGTGACCATTCACTCCCATGACTTTCCTTTGGAATATCAAAAGAATCACATTTCCTTGATTACTAAGATGTCTGAAGGGAGTATCAAAGAAACCCATTCTAATTCCACGATTATTTCTAAAGGAAACTGTGCCATTCTTCATTCCAAAATGAATTATCAATAAATAGTGTGTTTTTGTATAACTTACCTTTAGCATTTTCATTCCACTGACGTGTTCGTGCAAGACACCAAGAAACCATACTAGAAGAAATTAAGAAACAGGAAAAACAACACACGGTAAGGTTGGTTAACAACACGTTAAGCACAATTAGAGTAGTGAAGGTCAAATGGCAGAAAGCTCGCTTAGCATGCCAGAGGTACTTGAATAAATTCCCAGGTATTCCACCGAAAACCTTGTCGTGTGTGTCGGTGGTTCAGTGCTAGAATACTCGTCGACCACCTATACGGTCCGGGATTCGATGATCCCTAGCCGACGCACTCCTAGGACTGGCCCAACCGGCAGTAAGCCCGATGAAAAGGCGGGAAGGTTGGGTGTGAGGCTAGCAATCCCACATCGTGAAAAACAAGCAGCACTGCTACTGAAACTCCAAAGCTCAAGCTTGAAAAGCTTGTGATTGACTGGTGATTTTATCAAGGCTAAGTTTACTTATTGCTTTCTTCATGACACCAATTCGGAACGTGAACAATGACGCAAATTTTTTTTCTACACTTTTCGCTTCCAACCAACTCTCACCACAGGATCATCACTTGGTAATTGGAGAACAATACAACCATCTCAATCATTCTTCCAACTAATTTGTCGAGTAGAAATCCGGCTACAGCTGCAACTTTAACACTATCTGCATTCAACGCTTCATCTTCTTTAGAACAAGCTTTCATTTGGCAGGTTCTCCTACCTACACAAAGAGTAGATTTCACTCATTCTTCGGGCTGTAATTCATGGAGCAAAATGACTTCATGGAACTTTTCTCATCAAATAAAATAAGAGTGCCTGTACTTATAGAGAGCGAGAGAGAGAGAGGATTCTTTCCATTCCTCTGAGATAAAAGAAACTAGAGTGGAATTTCTTACACTTTGATTGATCATATTTACCGATTTTGCACAAATTGTATCTCTTCACAGATAGAACTCTCGATGCATCATGGGAATCCAGATTCTCTATTCTCTGTTCGATTTTTAACTTCAATTTGCATGGTTTTATTTGAAGGCGAACTGTTCAAATAATGCCTCAATGAGTGATAAATGGTTGTGTACTTCTGTGGCTGACTGACTGACTGACTGACTCCACAGAACAATGAATAATCTGAGTATGCAGATGGCATAGGAAGGGATGGGATGGCAAGATGATTGAAAAGATAACTTATTAGTGAGCATCTCGATGAGTGCTTCTGGTGCTGTTGCAATAGTAATCAGACTTGCTCAGAACTGAAGGATATGATTAAACTACCCGTCGAAAATTAATATGAAAAGGTATAACACAGGATAATTCTAACCCTAACATGCTATCCACCCATTATCCAAACGATGCTTAAAAATCAGATCGCGATGAAATTTTCACCTCGATGTGTCGCAACGCGTTCATACTGGTGCTGTTAATAACCACAGGTTATGCAATACAACGGATCGTATGCCTTCAAAGTCACTGATGCGTTCACACTCCACGGTCGCTATTCTTTACATTCCACGATACCGTCTCTTGAACATCAATGCGAACATTGTTTCCTCCAGGACAACTGTCAATAAGCACGAAACCTAGATTTCATACAGCTTCCTGAAATTTAGTGCAGACCACTGAACTATACAACTCTATATGATTACCTAAACACACAATAAAATAGCCCAATGAATAGGCAGATAACGCCTTCATCATATTTAAAACGATCAGTGGTTGGTTATTATACACCGAAGTGAAGGGGTAGCATGAATCATTCAATAATACATCTCAGTCTTCTACCCAGTTAGATTACCATTCAACTTTTGGGGACAGATTACCTATGGATTGTCTAGTTGCTTAGGTTAAAGTAGATGGAGCGTAAGTCGAAGCCAGGACCTACCGACTGACAGTCAATTTACTCAATTACCTCCACTCAGTGAGCTGTAATCAAACTACACACCGTGAAAACATAATGGATCTTTTCAAGTTTAACCACGGATTGAAATCATTTGGAGAACCGGTGAAAACCAGAGAGCACTGAACCAGCCGTTTCCTCCTACATCGGGAGTCATCGACAGCACACACCCACCGGGTTTCCAATCCAGCACCTAACAGTAACTAGCCAACCACTGAGACTCCACTCAATGGGCCATGACATTGGCTAGCAGTCAGTCGTACTAGAATTCATAGGATGGCGTTTAAATCGGGTCCGAGTGACTGACTGATCTCCGAGTTTGACTTGTAACTACTGGAAGGTCAAGCGTTCCAGCTCTAACTCTGGTCGCGAACTGTCGATGAGTCACAAACTGGGCTGTCGAAACAGCTGTCCAATACCAGAACTCCCAGCTGGTTTACATTTACCCAATGCTTCTCTAACTGATATCAATCAATCCATCCATCCATCCAATCAAATGCTTCCCCCCTCTACAAACCAACTCTTCATCATGGATTCTGTTTTGTTAAATTAAAAAATAAGCAAATAAAAATAACTTACTAGTGTTCATGAACATGTGATAATAAGTGTTCATAAGTCACATTAGCATTATCTTTTTTAGAAAATGTCAATTGCTTGTGACACCAAGGACAAGCAATCAGTTTACGACTGTCGAAAAAGTGAGAATCTCTTTCATGATTGTGTAAATTTATCAGATCTGTAAAGTATCGAGCAGTGAATGGAGTTGTTTCACAGTTACTAGGAGATTCTTGTAGTTGATGTTGTTGTTGTTGTTGCAGTAGCTGTTGAGAACAGTCGGAACTAGAACCATTGTCTGCTACTGATTCTTGATTTTGAAGTACTAGATTGATTTCGTTGTTTCCTCTTGGTGTCACTGAGCAAAAAGAACAAACAAACAAAGTAGTACAACAGTACAGTAGTGATACACACACCACTAACAGTTATGGAGATTTAGCTTTTTATTAAATTAACCTTAACAATGATAAAATAAAATAAAACAACTGTGCATGCATTCCATTTCAAATAAAAGCTTTCTACGCTCATGTACGTATATAAACCAATTAATCAGAGAATTCCTGAGTACGCAGAAGACAGACTAGACAAGTGTGTTGTCTTTCATCACTTGGAAACTGTTTTTGGCATCTATGATTCTACGAAGCATTTATGAGGATTTGATTAGTCGGGGAGATCTGTCCTCGAACACCTGATCAAACAAATCTGAACAGCAAGCTAACCCGCCGGAACAAGGAACTTCACAGTGATCTAAGAGGATACATACGGTAATCTTGCCTCATGCCCAATCTTCTCCCTTACCAGCCAGTCTTAATATTGGCTTAGCGAGCGAGGTAAACGAGTTCGTCGGTGGCCGGGGATCGAATCCTGAAACACCTGCGTGGTTGGCAAGCATTCTACCACTGTGCCACCGACGCACACTACAATCATATATATATATATATATATATATATATATATATATATATATATATATATCTATACATGCGACTGTACACAACTTGAGAATGATATCGGTGAAAAAAGTAACTCTTTGTTGAGTGTTTCCCCACCCTCCACTTTTCTATGACTCAATGAGGCGGATTTCCAAGTTGCTGCTTAAACTTCGGAAAGCTTAAAGCTCTCACATGTTCCACCAGTCGGAAAAAGGCAAAGGAATAAAAACCAGACATGAGAGGAGGGAGGACGGCAGAAAACACTCCCTCATACACACACATATATATATATACCTTCGTCTGATACATTTGATTCTGCAGGCAGCAATAATGAATCAGAAGTCATCTGTGCATGTGGATGATCCATAAACAAGGAATAAGAAGTTGAAGTCATAGTAGTAGTTGTTGTTCTTGTTGTCGTTGCTCTTGATGTGGTTGTTATTATCTCTGTAGACGAAGGATGAATACCACCACCAGTCACCGCTGTATTTCTCCTTGGTCCAATACCACAGTATGCACAGAAGCATAATTTTCGATCAAATATTACTGATGCATTATTATTCATCCTCCCATAACTAGAAGCACACGAAGCAGACGAAGAAGATGCATTATTCTCACATGATGAGTAGGTTCTGACAGACTGTTGCTGTTGTGCTTGTTGTTGTTGGTTGTCATCTGTATGCTCTGGGTCCAATAAATTAAGTATATCCTTATTACTATGATTATTTATTATTGTCATTATTATCATTACTATAAGTATAGGAATATCCAAATGTTGACCGAAAAATTGTTTGTGCATGCTGACAAACTGATAAATGTTCTCGAAAAATATCAATATTGGGAAAAAGACGTTTACACGAACCAAAACATCGATAATAGTTTTCCTGAATACACGCTGATCGATGTTCAGCCTAGATTGTTGAGAAGGAAGAAGAAAAGAAAACAAAAACAGAGAATGGGGGAGAGAAAGAAGAAGTTATGAATACTGTTCACTCACACATTACTAATACAATAATCAGCTTCAAGAGGCAGAAAGTCGATTCGCGTGTGAACTCAATGAATGAATAATTTACACACTTTTTGTAGATTATCCCCCCTCCCCCAAAAACAAAATATGGCATACAAACCTTTTATAGTTTGGATTTATTACACATACTGATTTCTGTTATGATCTCTATATCACAACCACCAGTTGAAATCAGCTCGTCGGGATTCTCCTCTACATACATACATACATACACCTGTCGCCAATCGATATGAGTGAGTAAGACTTATACATGGCTATAATAGTCCTGACCGAACGGACAACTCAAATGATACATATACTACTAAATACGCCTATTCCCGTTTGTGCTACTACCTTCGCTTCACTGAGCCAGGTAAATATCAAAAGACAAAGACTGGTCTGTGAATGGTAGAGGATACAATTTTCTATTAGGGAAAAAGGCACGTTATATTTATGTATATATTTAACCATATTGAAGTCTGCCTAGCCCACTGGAAATAGACTCTTCTAATTGGTAGACGATTTGGCTAGGGCCGTAAAACATGAACATTCTGATTGGTCGACTATTGAACTACAGTGTCAAGGTTAAAAAAAGATGATAACATTTTACAGTTATCCGATCTCACACGATGAATAATCATAAGGTTGATCACAACTTTAAGCCGATTTCTATCAATTTCTTTATTAGCTTCCCTTCAAAGTTTCGCATAGCACCCCCCTCAATCCACCCGTTTACTGCCTTTCCTCCACACTGGTATCAGGGTCATGTCATTATGGTAACTGTCATCCACGGATTTTGACAAGAAACGAATTCACGTTTATATCCATGTGTATGTGGATGTCAACCGCTCAAGAATCCTTCCCATAGAGTCAGTGTGTGTGTGTGGGTCACTAGTCTCACTAGAGAATTTTAAATGAAATGTACAAAACATCAATTCATTTATAAGTCTATACTGTGACCAGAAGGTCCTGGGTTCGACCCCTGGCAGTGGGTGTTTACTACCGACGAGTCCCAAACTAGGCTGACTAAACAACTGTCCAGTACTCCCAGCTGGTTTTCCAATGGTTCCCTAACCGATGCAGGCTTATGATGAAGTCCTCCAACCAATTAAACAAAAAAACCCACAAACCAATACTTGAAAATTGTTCTGTTATATATTTCAATGATCAACTGTCCCACAATCATTGATTTTCGCCTAATAACTGAAAGACTACATCCATGTACGCTGTAGCTAACTGTGCTGCTGCTCAATATCCGAAATCGCTTTATTGCGTATCCCCTCTATAATTTTAGCGTCATCACCTCACCTGGGTGGGCGTCATTGTTTCAACCCAGAGGTACTATAAATGGTGATAACAAACAAAGCCACGGTTATACATTGGGGAGAGCAAGACAGTCGACCACTACTCTGAAATCACTGTGCATATTTAAAGTAATCAGGAAAAACCTCACACTTTTATAACACTAGTGTGTCAGGTCCATGTGCCTCCACGTACTTCAGGGAATTGGCACGCGCGCGTTATCAAAACCAATCCCATCAAATAGGCCACAGACACTTTCGTCAACACATGTCTTCTCCGCTGGGTTAGATAGACAGACAAACTGGATAACTACTGGCCAGAAGGAATAAACAACGAGGAACTCTGTCATGCACAAGACCAGTCAAGCATTTATTACGTAACAAATGTGCATAAACACATATACATATTTATATATACTGCATATAATGAAATGAAACGATAACCAACACACACACACACATACACGTACACAGAGACACATTACAATATAAAAGTATTCACCACTTACACTGAAGTGTCGGAAATACTCCTCTCTTGTATCAAGAACTCTCAAACACTCTATGCACTGATATCTTGTGGAGTAATCTGCATTCTCACTCATCACACTGGAATTATAATTACCATTTCCATGGACCACCGGTGGCCCATTCATGTTTACTAATGAGGGTGGCAATAACACCGTCTGAGATTCACTTACAAATCCAGAAATTGGATGAACAGTAGAAGTCGAAGAATTCATAGCACCAGGCGGCGTATTAGCACCATGAATAACTCTCATATGATTTGTTAATTCTTCAATAGATTGCAATTGTTTCTGGTGTTGTACACAAAGTAAACATGAATAAATCCGCCTTGTATGACATTCAAAATAATGTTGGCATAGATTTTCAAACGCCTTATAGCCTTTTTTGTTACCACCACTTTCATGACAATAACAACATTGAAAGATTTCTCTCAAATTAAAGTGATAGCATACAAAGCGAAGATGTGCACGTAAGCACAACTCCGCACAATCAGGCGATAAATGTGCTGGAGGCTTGAGGAAAAACGAAAGAAGAGGAGAAAGTAATATGCGGAAAATCTTCTCTTTCTTTTAAGTACACAAAGTTAAATCAATTTATGTTAATATATACATACAGATATATCGTCTGTTTCTCCACCTATCTCTCACAGAGTATTATTGCATAACGATGACATTAGCTGGTGCCTGACTGTCGCGACAAAATCAAGAATTCGTGGAAGTTAGAATTCATGGGTTGGCCATTATTGAGACACAAACTAACTAACTAGGCTGACGAAACAACTGACTGTCCAGTACAAGTACTCCTTGATGGTTTCCAAAGGTTCTCTCTCTCTCTTTGTCTCTCTGACTGAAATCAATCCATGGGCGAACTTTGAAAACAAGCGAAATCCATACAAACCAACTCTTGCAAAAAACATTAATATATCCCATTGTATACAAATTATAAATTTTAGTTCAATTCTCATTGAGCTTTGATCAAAACAAGGCAATGTGTAACAGAGAGAAGTGGTTTGTACTCAGACATGACACATGTTTTTGGTTAGATTGGGTTGAAGTCAACAGCAGGGATAATCTCACTCACAGAAGATATGGACTGCGTCAGGTAATTTCGACATAGAACAGGTATTATCCTTTTACGACTATCTATCTTCATTCATGCAACGCCATTGGCCACACACATGCGTGCATATATCATTGTTTTCCTTGGCACGCGCTTGCGCTTAAACTTATACAGATACCGATACCGTTCAATACATATTTGCAGATGTGGCACATTGACTTAAGTACTCAACTTACAGCTAATCAGCCCCCGGGGTCGAGTCCTGCGCCCCACCTACTTCAGCCTGGCCAACTAACTGGGTAATACCACAAGCCCCTACACAATAAGAATGGCTTGTAACCTAGTACTACTGGGTAGTTGAGATTTAACTACTACAACCACTACTGTAAAAGATATACTCTCCACATCTCATATCGTGGTGTGTTCTGGCTTAAGTAAAACAGGCTGGAGGGAAACAGATAACTGTCGTACAGAGTGTTGTCAGCGTAATCAAGCTGTATTCGTGGTCAGCGTGTGCGTCTAAGTCAAGCGCATTGGTGTCTATATATCCTACTTCGACCTCGGTGGTATTGCACAATAAAGTCACCACATCATAACAAGTACATTTTAATGGATATATATAGGGAAATGATGTACACTTTATCTGTACATCGTCATTTCCACAAGTCTTCCGTGTTGTGCTAGTTCTGTCTTCCTCCACCCCTCGGTAATGTGTCTCTTTGCCTTCCTTTTGTATCTCCAATGTTTTCCAACTATATACTGATTCATTTGCTCGCTTTGATGTCAAATCCATCCCTCCACTGTTTGATATTTCTCTGCCAGTCAATGTCTCTGTATACACACTACTGATAAATCTTGTCAGTAGTACACACCACAGTAGCACTAGATCGATCGATCAATTAATTTCCCTTCACACAAATATTCTATTTTTGCTGAAGTTTCGTTCATTAGCAATCCAAAAATTAATAGTCAATCCGTAATATATATACATATTTCCACGCACCAATGAAAAGTTATACACACACATTACAACACCATGCATGGAATGTATTCACACACCTGAAGAGTAATATTCATATCTCAAAACAATAACAACAACAACAAAACTCATTCACACTTTCAGGACAGCTATGCATACAACACAGTTACTAAGTTCATTTTGAAAATCCTTAGCTCAGTGTCTATATGGAACACAACACGTGTTCATATAAGAACAGAACAATGTCATCGGAAAAGTCTATGGAATTTGTGCACACACATTGCAACATCTACCTATACAATTTATCTCATTCGTCTACCGGTCAGATAACAACAAATCACCTACTGTCACATGATGGACGTCAGTCAGTCAACCAGCCAGTCAGAATCCGGATCACAGTCGTCAGTCGACGCCCACCATTTGAGCCTTGTGACTGGATCAATATATGCCGTGTATATTTTTGCCCACTTGATCACTCTCGCTCTATATCTCTCTCTCTCTCTCTGACACACACTCGTTTCTTTTGGAAATACACGTTTCCACACCCCACACCCCTACTGTGTGAGTCTTCTGGAATTTACGTGATTCGGGTCAGGGAATAATCGACTAGGACCATTCATTCATTATCGTCAGTTGACAATCGTATTCATATTTGGCGGCGCGATAAAACACAAGACCCAGCTAAATCAGTCCATGAATGCATTTCTAAAACATCATTATCGAGTGACTGATGTATCCTCCTATTTACGCGTCTATATGACAAAATTCAACACTGTACATGAAATGGTTCCACAGAAATATGTCACTTTGCCGATTTCTGGCCCTATTGAAAATGTTTCGTAGCCAGTCTCACATTCAAACATGTAGTGAATAAGTGATATGGTGATCAATGTCCAGTCTGGAAATAAACCTATCAGTTGTCGTACAGGCAGGTGGCTGGATAGGCAGATAGTCAACGGATTATCCTTTTCTCATGCCTACGTTACTGGCTCATGTGTACATTTTGTGTCTCTTCATTACCCTACATATGTCATTAATTCCTTTTGTAAACACACTTCTGCGTCTCACCTCTTGTGTGTTCTCGTGTAAGTAGCGGCTTGGAAATCTGGTAGCTGTAGTGTACGCCGTTGGCGTGGACAAGCGATATTCGTGGTCAACGTGTTTACCAATAGCTCGGCGTCCCTATCCAAACCAACGTTTCTTAAAATATAAAAGGTAAGAAGTCATGGGCCATTGAATTGCGTCCCTGTGATTGAATGGTATACAAGATTCCTTGTAACCGGAAGGTAGGGGGAGGGGGTTCGAAACCCTGTGGGTGCGTGCTGCCAATTCCCAAACTGACAACTGGTTTCCACGTGGAACTCTGCACAGATGTGCAGCAGCTCGAGTTGCGGATTATCACTTAGTGTATTTGTTCATATGAAAACTTTCTTCCTAAATCCTGAATTCGATTTCTTCTATATAACTAACTGCCATAGTAACCTACGCAAAATGTGATTAGCACACTGCAACCATTCACTTGGATCACTCGATTTTCATAGTTTCGCCATTTCTCAATTCTGAGCGTCGGTGGAACACCAGTAGAATGCTCGTCATCCACGAATGTGGCTTCGAGTTCAATCCGCGGCCGCCGAAGACGCACTCCTTTACCTCTCTAAGCCAGTAATAACACTGGTAAAGAAGAAAGGTACGGGATTGGGGGCATGAGGCTGGCTAGCAACCCTGTCTCGTAAAAATAAACACTTTTTATTGCTCACTTCAAGCTCCTAGCCCTATTTTCCACTAGGAACGTAAAGGAGTGGAAAACAATTTCTTAATTAGTCATGATTGATTCCAGCACTTACACACATACCTCCGATTTCTACGAGGGTGGAACACACACAAAAAGCAACAACAATAAACTATAACTCACCGTAAATCCACACTGAGGACACATTATATGACATCCCAAGTGTAACAGTATATGAGCCTTAATCAAACATAAATTTGGTTGTTCTATACTTAATAGCTGACCACATAGGCCACATTTTGTATTGACTACAGTTCGACCACTACCCATAAGATGCATTTTAAGCCTTTGTTTATCATTTGTTTTAAATTTGCATAAGAGACAACGTAACACACCGAATGGTTGTTGTTGTTGTTGCGATAATGATGACGATGGAGTTGAAGACTGTGGTGAACGATACGAAGACAGTATCGCGTTTAAAGCCAAATTCAGATGAGCATTGGATGGAGCGGATGGAGGTAGACAGGTGTCGCAAACTTCTATGACAGAGAAAAATTAGACAAGGGAGAAAAGCAAAAAACAAGAGACAAGCTTATTGGAGTTATATTTCCATTGGACACTACCAGGCATTTAACTAATGTTATACGTTTATTCCATTCTTTTTCAGGGTGTAGATTGAATTCTATCAGTCAAGTGTGCAATGTGGCCATCATCATGGCTAGATGTGTAACTCTGAATTCTTATTAGATGGTTGTGAATGCAATCGGTGAGATACTCTGGACCTAGATTTCGTGTTTATCGTCACTCGTCAGAGCAAGGTGTATGTGTATCTGCAATTTCGCAGGAGTTCACATCCTCCCTCCTTCTGTGATTCGAATCAGGGTCACCACCATCAATTCAGTGGTGAAGCAGTGAGAGACATTAAAACTAAGCTAATCAGGCTCGTTAATTGACCTACTACTTTTTTTTTTTTTGTAGAACTTCAGTGGATATTTTGATTGGATACTGGGTAGTAATTACTGTTATGCATCTAGTCCTTAGTTTGGTGTGGCCTGAATTCCTACCACTCAACACAATTTAGAAGGAAGTTATTCGAATGACATTTTTTAATTCTGGCACAACACGAAAACCAACATAGTTCTCAAACGATATCACACAATCAATCACTACTTCCATGTTGCTAAAAAAGGTTTTAAATTCATGCCCACAAAAAATAAGCGGCACAACACAGCATACCACCTATGAATTGTGATACACACACACACTGGTTACTATGCTCAGTCACTATTGAATCAACTTTTACGTCAACCACTCCCATACAGAGTAGCAGTGTTGTACAATTCACTCACAATCTTAGCTAACTCTTTTTCTTGTCTAATTCAATCAATTCTATATCAGTTATAACATTGTTTAACGAGGAAGGAAAGACAGCTGGTGACGTATGTGTCTTAGCCATCTCAATCGACGATCCCCAGCATCACAAGCCCATCCATCCAGTGACTTTCCCTTTTTTCTCTAATAATATTCTACATGCCTGGCCTTATTATTATTGACAACAGCATACACTTAACACCAATGGGGTCAAAAGGCTGCTAATCTCTTTTTCTCTTTAATATCCGTCAATCTTCAACGAACAAGTCTCACAGGATGTGAAAGAGCACTGTCAAACTGCTCAACACACACACACACACACACTGAAATCACTGATAATAATAACGAAGGAACTCATTTGAGAAAGTAAAGCT